CGCCTTGCCGGCCTTGGGAAGAGTGAGTCACGGAATGTTTGTGGGGACTGGAAGTTCTGGGGGTCCCTGCAGAAGATCGGGCTCCACCCCTACGGTCCTGGGGGAATAATCAGCCTTGTGCGTTAGCTGTTACAAGTGGCTGCCTGCCCAGGACGGGGCTGTAGGCAGCCCCACGGGAGCGGCCGCAAGTGCCGGAGGGGTTGGGGGTGAGTGAGGGTTCAGCCCCTGAAGGGTGGCTCCGAGGAGGGGCGGGGGTGGGAAGGGTCCTTCGATGTCCCTGGCATGGGGATGGCGGTGGCAGGTGGAGGGAGGCCGAAGTACTTTCATACTTTCCGAGTGATGAGGCCCTAGTTGAAACAAAGGGTCTGGACATCAGAGGGGAGCGCCCAGGAGACAGAAGGAAGCGGCACCCATCTGCTCTGGTGCCCAAGGCAGTGCCTGGTCTTCTCACTCCTACTTCTTGATCACTGTGACAACTGTCTCCTCTCTCAATTCCTTACTTAGCACAGGCCTCTGCAGACAAAGCTGTTTGTTCAAAACCCTCCAGGCCAGCTGCAGCTCTGGGATGGAACTTCTGCATCCTCCCCGCCCCTCCCTCCCTTTCCTTCCTTTCCTGTCTCCTTCTTCCTCTTTTCCTTTTCCTCACCCTCATTTTCTTTCAAAAAATAATTTATTGAGGTGAAAATTACATAATACAAAATTAACCATTTCAAAGTGAACAATACATTCACAATATTGTGCAACCACCACCTCTATCTTGTTCCAAACTATTTTCATCTCCTTGACCAGTTCCTCCCCAGTCGTCCCTCCCCCTAGCAACCATCAATCTGCTTTCTGTTTCCATGGATTTATTTGTTCTAGATATTTCATATAAATAGAATCACATGATATGTAACCTTTTGTGTGTCTATTTATTTTGAAGAGCAGGTACATTCACAAGGTTCATAACTGAAAAGTCAGTAGATACATAGTGAAAAGTTCTCTGCTGCAGGGTCACCTAGTTTCCCTCGCTGAGGTAAAGTGTAACCTCAGCAGTTTTTGTTTATTTTTGTTTTTCTATCCTCCCAGATATGTTTTATGCAGATATAGGTAAATATAGATATGTCTACACACATGTTCTATCATGTATCTGTCATCTACCTGTTTGGATCTGATTTTTTTTCTAACATATCTTGGAGATAGTTTCATATCAATATGTAAAGAGCTTCCTTCTTCTCTTTCTAATGATTGTTTTATATTCTTATGAATGGATGTATCATAATTTATGTAACCATTCCTCCCACCAATGGACTTTTAGGTTGTTTCCAATCTTTTGGTATTATAAACAATGTCACAATGAGTCATTTTGTACATTGGCCAATGTATCTGTAGATGAATTAGGAGTCCGAAATTCTGGGTTCAAACTTGGACACATTTAGGCAAGATAAGAGTGGACTCCTGTTACATTATATAATAAATAACATTCATGGATTGGGAAATATGCATTAGACACTGTGCTAAGCATTTTTAAGCAGCTTTATTGCAATATAATTTATATATCATAGAATTCACTCATTTAAAGCATACAATTCAATATTTTTTAGTATTTTCACAGAGTTGTGCAATCACCACCACAATCGATTTTAGAACATTTCATCACCCCGAAGAAACCCCGTACCCATTAACCGTTACTTCCCACGCTCCTCTGCCTCCAACCCGTGGAAACCACTCATCTATTTTTTGTCTCTGGATTTGCCCATTATGGGCATCTCATACAGATGAAATCATACGCTATGTGGCCTTTTACGTATGGCTTCTTTCACTTAGCATAATGTTTTCAAGGTTCATCCATGTTGTCATTATTCCATTCCTTTTTATTGCAGAAAATCCCTGTGTTTTTACATCTTCAATCAATCTAGCGTTTCCACTTAGGCAACCCAAGTCCTTTGACCAGGGCAGTTACAGGCAGGTGTACCCCAAAATTTGCAGGGCCTGGGAAACAAAAAATGGGAGCCCCTAAGTCAGATGCCTAAATATTTAAAGGCTGTAAATCAAGCCAAACAATTGTTGAATAAATTATATTTGATCCTCCTACATTGACAAATAGGTGTAAAGTTATGGCTTCTATAGGACTAAAAATTGGCAAAATATCAAAGATGACTAAATTCAATTATTACAAAATTAGAATATATTATGGTAATAATAGATTCATTTTCAAAATGAATTGAATAACTGCAATTTCAAAATGAATTGAATAAATTCAATTTCAAAATATTTTTTATGCTTTCAAGAGCTATTTTTCTAAAATATTCAAAATTATCTACAAAAGTTAAAGGAAAGAAATATAATTGATAATTAACCTGTGAAAAATTAAATTTCAAGTATTTACAGTTAAAATTTTTACTTGACTTTTTGAGAATATAATGAAATCTTATTAAATATGATTATGAAGAAGCTATTTGTGATTCTGGTGTTCCATGTCTTTGACTTAGTAGCATGTTTCATGTATGTTATGCCTAGACCTACATCTGTACACGAGAGAGTAATATGAATTGTTTCGTAATGAAAAATATTCCTTAGCCTCTACGTGAACTGTTGCATTTACTGCACTAATTTTTGGGAGTCCCTCTGGAATTTTATGTTAGAGAAACAGGAAGATGGAGACTTGGCACTGGCGGGAAATGGCATGTTGTTACCTAAGGATCTACTGCAGTCAAGGTGTCTCAGTGGAGGGATGTGACAGGTGGATTTGTCTTTTACTTTTATTTTATTTTTTAAAAGATTTTATTTATTGGGCGCCTGGGTGGCTCAGTTGGTTAAGCGACTGCCTTCGGCTCAGGTCATGATCCTGGAGTCCCGGGATCGAGTCCCGCATCGG